CAGGAGCGGCTGCTGAGGAAGAGCTGCACGCTGTACGTGGGGAACCTCTCCTTCTACACCACAGAGGAACAGATCCACGAGCTTTTTGGCAAGAGCGGCGACATCAAGAAGGTCATCATGGGGCTGGACAAGGTGAAGAAAACCGCCTGCGGCTTCTGCTTCGTGGAGTATCCTTCTGCGGCGGGGGGCAGGAGCGGTCGGGGCGTGGGTGAACTGAAACGCAGGCCCGGAGTCACAGGGGCATCATCCGAGAATAAAATTACTGGGTTGTAGAAGTGTCTGTGGGAGCCCTGGGCAAGAGAGGGCAGACACACCCTGCATGTCGAGGGAGGGGTTTCAGGGTTTCTTTAACTGTGTTACTTTAAGCCACTTTTTAGATACTTGGTCTCTGCAGTAACAGTGTATTCTCAGCACCTGAGTGAAAAGGGGGTTCTTGTCATGCAAGTGTGCACATAAAGCCTCTGTTGGTATCTTGCATCTTTGTAACATGGTTGACTTTATTGCGTGCAAGTCTCTCTTAAGAACATTCTGTTACTGGTTCCAGCAAACTCGCCAGAATGGTGAAAGTTCGCAGCATGAACGGAGCATGTACAGGGCTTCTCATTCTTCCTGTAGTAATAGAGCTTTATGCTTTTAAGGGTGAGCATGATTAAAGGACTTGATCCAGGATATACATTCTTAATATGCTTGAATTCCTGCATATTGCTCTGTTGCACAGGCAGTTTTCTCAGCCCACATAGCTGTATAAAAGCGGTTGCTTTTAGAAGTAACTGAGTGGGAACCTTATTCAAGCAAATACTTGGTTTTGTAGCACATTTAGCATTGTCCTTTTTCCCATGTGTTGAAAGTAGAAGCCTATTTTTTTTCATTAACCTATTCCTAAGGTATTATGCAAGAGGAGATGCTGAAAATGCGATGCGCTACATCAATGGAACCAGACTTGATGACAGGATCATAAGGACAGACTGGGATGCAGGATTTAAGGAGGGTAGACAGTATGGCCGTGGGAGATCAGGGGGCCAGGTAGGTTGTTGCACAGTTACGTTTTTAAGGGACTGGTGACTTTGCCAAATTACTGCTTTCTGAACGAACGTACACAGAACAACTTCAGAAATAGCAGCTTCCCAATTGTTGTTTAAGATTGTGCTATACATTAGTGTGTAAGACATTTTATCAATGATGATGTTATCCACTAAGTAAATAGCACTTTCGTATATTTCACTGAAAAATGCTTTTGGAACCTTCTTAGCTGCTTGGCCAGGTAATGCTTATAAGGAAGCCCAGAAAATGTAAAGCTGTCAAGAGCACAAAGGACAGCACTTAACTTACCTAAAGTTGAGCAGGTAGCAGATGCTGTTACTGCTGAAGCATGAGGCTAGCCATCCCCGCTTTGGCTGTCTTCATTAAAGAGTCCTTTGGTATGTTGTTAAAAAGGAAGCTAGTTTGGGCTGTATTCTGGGCTTCTGCGTGGTGCACTTTGCTTTCTGCTTTGTCTGTCAGCTCCACTTGTTGTGAACTCCATTTGACTATATTCTGATAGTCTGATATTTTTTGAGAAATTCTTTGTCTTCACTGGGTTTCCCTTTCTTTCTCCTTTATAAGGTCCGGGATGAATATCGGCAAGACTACGATGCTGGAAGAGGTGGCTATGGCAAAACCGTTCAATGCCAGTGAACGGTGAATGACTCAGCCTCACAGGAGAACTAATTCTGCATTGTAAATGCCACGAGGCACAAAGTACGTGTGTTGCACACAAATGTATGTAGCTAGAAGTTCACAGGAGCTACTGTCCGTGTTTCTGTGATCACATAGTACGTTCAATGTTTCTTCCGTTTTAATACCAGGACCCAAAGCACGGCAGAGTACACGAATACAGAGGACCTGGGAGCAAGGTTTTAATCAATAGTATGGGTGACACTTTAGTCTCTAAATGCTGCTGTAGCTCTACTAAAGGAACAAAGGTTTAGCGGTATGGTGCTTTTTTCACTGGCAAAACTTGATTATTCTTTTACTGGGTTTTGTTTACATTGGTATCACAGGGTGGAGAGCGGCTGTAAGGGAGGAGGAGTGTATGTTTCAGAGATGAAAACAAAAGCCAAAGAGCCTGAAAAGGAAGTGGAATTTCTAGGGAGATTTTCCAATTTTTAGGGAAGACTTAAAGTTGCAAATTGCCTGGGGTTACGGGATTAGCAGCCTTTCACAGTGATGCTGTTTGTAGCACCTCTGCATGAATGGCCACAATAAAACAAGTCAGATCGATGAGCCGAGGAATCAGAAAGTGAGAAACAAGCCAAGCAGAGAGCAGAAGACAGACCCTTGCAGTCTTCTACAAAGTATGATGTGGTTGCACAACATTGCATGATTCAGGACCATTTTGCTTTGTGGGATACGGAGATCAGCAAGTGTAAGAGTTACAGGAGCAGCTATTTTCACAGTTGTAGTATTTTGGTCCTGTCTGGTAGCTCTTTTCAGCCTTAATGTTTGAGGAATGGTCTTTTTCCTGTGCCTACAAGGGTGGCATGAAGCCAGGTTGTACAGATAGCCTCAAAAATGGGACATGTGAGGAACTGTATAATGAGAAATTTGTTCTCAACATAGATTTTCTATCTGAGAAACCTGATTTCAGACAAAGGTAAAAATAAAAATGTTGAGTTCTGGGAGGAGCCTTACTTTCTACTGAGCGTGTGGTGAGACTGGGGAAAAAGTTGCAGGATAGATTTCCTCTGACACTGGGATCTTACTGATGTGACTGGTTTATATTATGGGATTTTGATACGCTGCAGACATAGGAATAAAAATAATTAGTGGTCCCAATCTGACCTTCTGAAATGAAATAGTTTAAAAGGAACTGCTACAGGGCTTTGGATTATTTTTTATGGACTTCCGAGTTCCTTGGAAATGGCTTTTCATAACGTTTTGTCCAAATACCTTGTTGTCCATGATTCCTTAAAAACCTTTAAAATACCAGGCATGAAAAAGTTAATCTCTACTCAGTGAAGATATGGTCGGAAATCTTGATGTGTTTCTGGCATAGGGTTTGTCACAGCTGTTCCTGTAAATTGGAAATACATGAGGTAGAACAGCTGCAATGAGACTTCACTTACTTAGGAAGCAAGATGTTGGGTGGGCTTTGGTTTTGTTGGGGTGGTTTTTTTTGCACGTAGAGTAAAACTACATTTTTTTCAGGATCATTTGGTGCTGGTCTGCAAACAAGACTTGAACAAAGTTACCCTTTTCTATATAGTACATTTGATGGTGAGTTCATAGGCTGTAATCTGCTCTAGGAAACCTCTGAAGTTTATTTTTCATTGTATCAATTTTGTATAAAAACTTGTGTTAACAAAACATTAAGTCAATTATAAATAAAGCTGCAACTTTAAAATGTATTGTTATTTTTTGACAGATTCAGTGAGAGAAAGGAGCTATATTCAGACTCTTGTCCACAGCCTTTATTCTAGAGTCTTTGAAGATAGAGCAAGTGAATATTCCTTCCCTTTGACTGGATTTTCAGTCTTGCCTAGCTCTTAACTGGATGCTGGAAGATGTTTGGTTAATGCTCTTTGTTCTGGTACTTTTTGGATTACAGAATAGAAACGAAATTATTTACTCATAATGAAGTAGGCGTGAAAGTCTTTGCTGTGTAACAAGTTTTCAAGGTGCACTTCCTTATAAAAATAAGGTTTAAAATTGTTATTAATTTAAGTGCTGCAAGAAAGTAACTGTCAAATGAAATGGAGGTAGTAAGTTTTTCTCTCAAAACCAGCCTCAGACCTCACTGTCTTTTGCTGCATGTGTGCAGTGCATATGGAAAGACTTTGGTTTAAAGTGAGATTTTTCTATTCTGAGAGAGGTTTCAGTCATATTTTATTTTCTACAGCACATTGGGGATCAGGATTGAGCAGTCTTCTGTGCTTCATTCTAATTTCTGGGTGAATTATCTAGGTCTGGAGAATCCATAAAAAGCACAGCATTTGTATGTTAAGACCATATAACTTTGCCCAGTGTCTGCACCACACAGACAGAAAGGTTGTATTTTGTTCCTGTCAGTTGAGGACAGAGTTCCATGAGGAAGAAACTTTGCTGACCTTCAGAAACTGGTTTTCGAAAGCAGGAGAAATCCACTCTTATGTCAAGGTTAACATGAGCCAGCACTGTGCCCACGTGGCCAGAAAAGCCAATGGCATCTTGGCCTATATTAAAAACAGTGTGACCAGCAGGGCCAGGGAGGTGATCATCCCCCTGGACTTGGCACTGGTGAGGCCGCACCTCGAGCGCTGTGTTCAGTTCTGGGCCCCTCACTAGAAGAAGGATGTTGAGATTCTGGAGCGTGTTCAGAGAAGAGCCACAAGGATGGGGAGGGCTCTGGAGAACAAGCCTGATGAGGAGCGGCTGAGGGAACTGGGCTTGTTTAGCCTGGAGAAGAGAAGGCTGAGGGGAGACCTCATCACCTCCTACAACTGCCTCAAGGGAGGTTGTAGAGAGGTGGGTGCTGGTCTCTTCTCCCAGGTGATGGGGGATAGAACAAGGGGAAACGGCACCAAGCTGTGCCAAGGGAGGTTCAGGTTAGAGCTAAGGAGGAAGTTCTTTACTGAGAGGGTCGTCAGAAGCTGGAACAGGCTGCCCAGGGAGGTGGTGGAGTCACCATCCCTGAATGTGTTTAAAGAGCAGGTAGATGAGGTACTTAGGGATATGGTTTAGTGGGTAGACAGGAACGGTTGGACGTGATGATCTCAGAGGGCTTTTCCAACCGAGAGATTCTGTGATTCTGTGAAGGTTCCACAGTTTATGAAGATTACCCCTTCCTGCTGCTCTGCTTCCCAGGCTGCTTTCAATGGCAAAGATGTATCTTATTTCAGTGAGGTAATATTCTCCAAGATTATTTTAGATTCTACCTGAAGGTTGAGTGTCTACAAGGGTTCCTTACAGATTGAAAAAGCAAACAAACAAACAAACCCCCCCCTCCCCCAAAACACATATAAATAGGTAGCCAAACTGTAGTTTGTGTGTGAAACACTCGAGGAACAGCACAAGTAAAATGTCAGATGGCTCCCTCTAGTGACTGCAAAATCAGTGTGCCTTTGTATTCTGGCAGCAGAGGTGGTTGCTGAAAGCTGTCCTGTGCTGCGTGCCATAGTGACTCAAGATTTTTCTTTGGTTTGTGTTGTAAAAATGAACAAAACCTTATTTTCATCTGTAGACTATTTGTCAGAGTGAAGGCAGCTAGAGATGGGGATTTGCAGGTTTGTAGCTCATCGCAGTTTCTCAGCTTAGCAGCAGCTTATTTGTCTCCTACACTGGATATTGCAACATGCTGTGTCTGTGGTGACTTCTTTCCCCAGCAACCTCTTTTTCTGCCAAAATTTTGCCAAAAGCACTCCTGTGATACTGAAGGAGGGCTTGACTCTTAGGTGCCAAATCCATGCTTCACAATCTCCCTATTAATTATATTTTGTGTAACTGTGCCATCAAATCCCCTTGCGCCAAAATTCTGTTTTTCAGTCTCTAGCAGGTAATCACAGAATCCCAGAATGTGAGCAGTTGGAAGGGACCTGGAAAGCTCCCCCAGTGCAACCCCTGCCAGAGCAGGATCACCAGAGCAGTCACACAGGAACACGGCCAGGGCTTTGGGTGTCTGCAGAGAAGGAGACTCCACAACCTCTCTGGGCAGCCTGGGCCATGCTCCATAACCCTCACACTCACAAAGTTTGTCCTCATGTTCAGCTTGAGCCTCCTGTGCTCCAGCTTGGGACCATTGCCCCTTGTCCTGGCATTGGACATCCCAGAGCAGAGCCTGGCTCCTTCCTCCTGACACTGCCCTTTACAAATTGATAAATATTACTGATATAATAATGAAATAATAATAATGAAATGATAATAATAGTAGTAGTAATAATGAGATAATGGAATAATGATAGTAATGAAATAAAGTTCTGTATTACACACAGAGTCAATGTATGCAGCTTGACGAGGCAGTAGACGGGATCTTGTGTGTCTAACTTGTTTCTGTGCAGTTACAGTAATGTAGGGAAGTGCCCTGTGCCCTTTTTTGTCTTGCATAGTGTTGACCTGAGGCATAAGGGGGATTATGCAGTGTGTGACAACCTGTTGTGGATGAAGACTTGAACCTCTTGTTCTCCTCAATCCTAGCTCTAACAAGACTTGTTTCCTACCTGTGCTCGTGTATTTCATGACGCAGTAACATGGGAGTGTAGGGAAGTACACTTCCCACAGAGGGTTTGGAAAGACGAGCAGTACTTACAGGATAGAGATCAGACCTTTTAAACCATGTTTACAGATTAATCATAAATATCTTAAGAACAAATTGGGGATATAATGGAATGAATCCTCTCCATGCAGGACTGATGCTTCATATTAATGCCTTCTAAAGCAGTAGCAGGCATCTTTGCTGAAGTCTGCCACTAGTGTGATGGTACTGCTGTACCATTTTACAGCCAGGGAACAGTTGAGCAAGGACCCTAAAACTTTGCTCTTTCATTTGCCTCCCAGGAGCACCTTTGCCTGGATCTCCAGAGGGTGCTTCTCAATGGGAACAGGGCTGCATGGAGTGGCTTTTCACGTGGATCCCTCTGCAGAAGGGGAGGGTCTTGGCTGTTCATTGCATCTGTGCCGTGGCTAAATTTGGAATTTTGAAGTGTTGATTTGATTTTTAATTTTTTTTTCACATTTGAAGGCCAAAGAGGAGTTGTTCCTGGTGTTGGATTTTATTGCTTTTAATGTGCTCCAGCAGACATTCGCTTTTGCAAACCCTCTCTTGCCTGTCCAGTAAGAGCAGCAGTTCTGGTTGACTATTCCTCCCAGAAGCTTTCTCTTTATTCTCCAGTGCTAATCTCTGGCTACATAAAACCTGCTTCTGTTTTATTCTGTTACCCACCAGCCAAGTCTGGACAAAGTCAGTTGCTTCTGCCCTGACAGGAAAATCTACCACTGCTGTCAGGATTTCAGATGCCAAGTGC